CTTTTTCTCGTTCTGCCTGTTGCTGCAGCTGTTATGTGAACAGCAGAACTGTAAACAATCTTATCAAGCATAAACCTGCATTTCTTAGTGGTTGCAAGGTAAGCTACAACACAAACACACACCCAGTTGTGGCAGAGAAAGACATTTTTGGGTAAAATGGTTGCTGAAGAGATTATTAAAAGCAAAAGTCTAGCATATGTACAGTACTTTAGGGCATCTTGGAAGCAATTCTAAATTGTTTGCATATCCAGTTTTAATATATTCCAGAATTTTGAGTTCTTGTGTATTACCTGAGGCAGTGACTCAGTCACAGGGTGGCTGCTGGAGACCCTGAGCACAGCAGAACATGTCTGGCAGACAGTATTCCAGATATCTGGGAGAACAAGAAGCAGGATTTCAAACCATTCCCCTACAGTAATGAACACAGGGAGGCCATAGGAAATACTGCCCCATGAGCAGGGCTAGGGAGCATCCTGTGATGAGCAGCAGAAGAGATGCACATTGTTCTCTGTGACTCCTGTACTAGAGCAGGTGACAGAGTGGCACTGCAGGCTGGAATCTGGCTCCTGTCTACTTCAACTTCAGCAGAATTACCATCAGTCTAGAGGAATTGGAAAGTTTAGCTTTGAAGCAGTTGCAGCAAAGATGTACAAGGGAAGCTTGGTCACAGTTAACCTGTACTGAGTCTGACTGACTTAGGCTTTGAAAATTAACTGGAGTAACTTTTATATCAAAAAAATGGCTAAAAGCCATTCAAGATGTTAGTCTATTTTTTTTAATATTTATAACCTTCAAATCATTGTTAGGCACTGCTTGACAGAACGCTGGGCTTTGACTTATTTGGTCTATGATAAACATCTTTAATACAAAACTACATTTTTGTTTGTTATTAATCTCACTGTGCCAAACCAGAGCAGCGAGAGCTTTGCTTTGCAATTTCCTGGCTCCTGAAGATACCCTTCCTGCTTTTCAGGTTCATGTTATTAATATAAAGTCCTTATAGCTGAAAGAAATGCAAACAGAAATTTCCTCTTGTCCTTCAATTCTGGAATAAACTTTATATTCTTTATGATATTATGGAAATATTTACCCTAACCAGCTATTTAGAGGTATTGACGTTCAAATGATAAAGCACTATTTTCAAGGAATGCTGCTCACATCATATCCTATGACAAATTCATCATGAGTGACCATGAAAACTAGTCAGGGAGTTGTAACTATGTAGTGGGTCACACCCAATGTAATGAATTTAACTGTTAGAGTTTTCTTTTTAAAGGAGGTTGTTCACTTGGATTCATCCCTCTTTCTAAATTATTTTTTCTTAATTAAAACAAATCTAGGAAGGTCTGCCAGACAAAATAATTCAGAGTGTCTTGAACAACTAAACAAGTAACAGTTTAAGGGCTTTTTTCCCCCGCAGAATAGCTCAGTTATCTTTGCTATAATTTTGTATACTTCATAGCTTGCCTAGAATAGACAGTGCAGTAACAAAAGTGTATTGAAAAACAGAGTCTGGTCCTGAGAGTTCTCCTGTAGCATAGGACAGTGCTTGTTCATGGCTGGACAGCCTCTGTACTCTGTTGCAGCACAGAATGACCCACAACCCAAGGGTGATGAAATGCTGGATTTGGACCATTTACTAATTTTATTGTTTGTGCAAAAGACAATTCCTCCTGATAAAACAACAAAATGTGGTTGTTTCTCCCTTGTGCAGTGCTTGGGGCCACATGTTGAACACTACTGGAGATTTTCCTCCAAAGAGAGAATTACTACATTGCTTCCACAGCTTGAATATGGACCTCAAAGCAACATGAGGTCCTTTAAAATAGACCTCAAAGAACAGTTCTAGAGGCACTTGTCCATTTTTACAGCAGCTCTTGAAATTAGAGGATTTGAATCACCTGAATTTTCCACATGGGGTCTCTCACCTAGCAAGATTAAATTCACCATTAATTTTAGTAATTTTGAGTAATGAATAGCTTTTAAACTATTCCATAGTGCTCAAATCATAGTTCTAAATTTAGGCACATATATCCCGTATTTAAAAGAGAAGGGCTCAAATTGCATGTCAGAAATCCCAAAAATGAGAAATGCAGTATTAATGGCTACCAGTGAAAAAGCCAGGTATAAGTCATTTACCATTGCATTTCAAAAACATGCTATGACAAAGACATGAATAAATCATATTGCTCCAGGGAATACATTAAGTGCTTTAAATCTCATTTCTCTTCCTTCAACTCCTACTGAAACAAATGAAATGAGGGTTCTTGGAAAACAGGTCCTTTTAGTAAACAACAAGAATCTTACTGCTTGGTCTTCATGCCCAGATGATCATATTTGTTATTACTGTTATTATAAGCACACGAGAGCTCTACTAACAGACAAAATTGTGTCAAGACACCAAGCAAAGAGAGAAAAACATGACCTATATGACAGATAGCTTAACAATCTAAGGCAAGAAACAACAGGCTACAGTGCCAGGGGAGTTCAAGGAAACTGCACAAGTCCACAAGATTAACCCTTATTTCAGCTCACCAGCAGCTCAGCTCTTGTTAAATTTTTTGGTGAGCACCACTGCAAAGGACACTTGAGGAAAAATTTGAATACAAAATTATTCCAGTGTTTGCATGTTTCTGTGAATTTCTTCATGCTGTGGAGTCAATGTGGAGGCTGCCATGGCATAATGAATTAACACCACAGGCTGGTACTGTGACTGAACAGAAGTTCACTCTCCTAGCAGCATCAACAAGACCAGCATACAGCTACTATTTGGCTATGTCTGCCTGTCTACAACTATTTGTGGAGGTACAGTCTGTAAAAAAATTGTGTTTCATAACTTGCTGCAATATAAGTCACATTTATATCAGCACCCTTTAAACAGTAAAGAAAAAACCACAAGAAATAACTCATGCTGCATTCCTACCATAATGCCACTGCTTAGCCTGGAAGGTGAACTGTGAATTTACTTGTATTTTATTTACATAACTTTGCATGACAGGAAGGAGCAGGAGGAAGATAGAGATAGTATGAAAAACCCTGCAATCTAGGCATTTATGGGGTCAAGTGTACATCACTACCTTGTATGGCCACTCATGGAAGGAATGGCCATTCCTCCTTGGCTTAGTCATGCTCAATACACACCTGGATCCTGGGGTGGACAATGCTGCAGGGCTCAGCAGCTGCCTTCCTTGACTGTGGGAAATGTCAGATGACCTTAATAACAGGGTTTGCCACCTGTTTCTCCTCTAATTATTCGTTAATATTATAAGCATCCTAAAGTTGAGGATGAAAGTGTGGACTAGGGCTAGCATTTATCTAGAATCTTATTAATCTGCATATATTTGAAATTTTTTTATCTGAAAGATGTCTGCCTTTATTAAGTCTGAAATTGTTAGATACATTGTGTTGCCTGAAATGTATGCCAATGAAAGGACCAGACTTTAGCTTTGTAGCAGAGCCATGACAGCAGCAGTTTGCAGTACCAATTTTCCACAAAAATATACAAGGGGTCAGTCAGAACATGCCCTCCCACAAAAAAACCTACCTACAGAGACAATGGAAAATTAATTTAGTGGTGAATTTATCCCATTTTTCCCACTGAATGTTGTGAGGGGAATGAGGTTACCTCTCTAGGTTTTGAAGAACTGTCCCAGACTTAGTCTCCAGGAATGCATAGAGCCCAAAAAGCCACCATGCTCCAAGATCAGCCACATGGAGCCCACATGCTCCTGTCAGAGCTGTTTGCTCGAGGCAATCAGGAACTCCCTCTGTTGTGATGATGCCATATCTGATCCCTTCCTTCCTGAATATAAATAGTTTCATTCTCAAGAAAAGCCATTGAGATATTCATCATAATTTCACGTTGCTATTTTTAAAAAATAGATACACAGCTTTGTCATGCACAACTTCCAACAGGAAATATTTTCAGTTTGTGGGAACGTAACTCTTACCGACCAATAGATTATTCATGCCCCATTTTTTATGTTTTATTATGGTTATCCAATTTAATATGGACAATTTAAAATTACCAATTTTATAATTATGAAGTACTGAAGCAGTTTGGTTATAGTCTTTGTTATTTCATTGATTATTAGTAACTGACTAGTGAATTTAAAGGATGTTTCAACTGGTAATGCCACTTTTTAGCCTGTGGACAAATTTGTTTCTGTTAATATTTAATAGCTTTTATGAGGGAACAAGTCTATCAGAACAACTGAGTTTATTAATTTTTTTCATTTTGTTATACCAATGGTACATATTAGTTGATTCACAAACATTATATTTTCAATTACTGGCATTTCCTGAACGTATAAATACAGAGTTACATTCTTTGAATTCTGGAAATTTATTTTGTCACATTTCCCAGAAAGAGCTAAAGGGTAAGAACATTATCCTTCTGCATGCATTTTCAATTATTTTCATTATATTTTTTTTTCATAATCAGAGGTGTAGGCAGGTCCCATGGAATACACACCAAAAGCCTCTCCACAGGGTACAGCCTCTCCTTAGGGTGACAGAAGCAATTCACATGTCTCATGAGGGGAACATGCAGCAGATCTACCTGCAAACAGCTATATGAGGCTCAGGAGAAAAATGCCACAGCATTGTTGAAGGACACAGTCCAGCTACAGAGAGACACTGGCTTTTGTCTCTTCCTCTTCTGTTAAGCAGGAATACTTTTTGCATCCCTTCCTATTCACTTCCTAATTTCCCAATAATGTATTAACATACTTCTGACAATGTTAAAAACCAGTCCTTTATACTGGTGAATGATGAATGTTTCTAAGCGTGGCCTAGCTGCTCATCCCAATTTTTGGGATGGGCCACCATCTATTTTGTATTTCTGTACAGTTAGCGCTGATGATAAATGCAAGAACCAAATACTGATCCTAACCTAAATCAGCCTGTCTGCAAATAAATAAAGGCTGAGAGGGAGGCAGTGGGAATGCATGCTCTTTTGGAGTCAAATATTTTTTAAATTTTTTTTTTAATTTCAAACCAATATAAACAGCCTTTTCTGATTACACGGAATTGCTTAAGAGGGGCATCAGGTACTTCACTAAAAGATAATATCACATAATATTAAGTGCTAACAATTAAGTGTAGTTTTGTTAAAATATACAGTGTGTCATTCTTTTGAGTAAGAAATATATTAAATCCACATTTTACAAATCTGCAGCTTTCTTCCAGCTTATATCCTTCAAAAATAAACATGATTGCTTAACAATAAGTTACAAATAAGAAAATATGCATTCCTGCTCACCCACGTGTTCCTGGTGTATGTCATAGAAAAATATAACGCGCACAAGAAATAGAACCTGGAATCACTGTGAAGTCTTCAAAGCCATTCCCTGACAAATTTAGAAAAGGAACTCAATGTATGGGAAAATTTGGGTTTTCATACTTAATTTCAAATTTTTTACTTTATCCTTTGCTGGTGTCAGATATGATGATGTCACAACAGCTGCTGGTGGTAGTGATTGACACCATACAGAAAAAGCTGTGTTCTGAAAGGCTGGAAAAGATATTTTCTAATCTAAACCATACCTACGATTCTATGAAGCAAAGGATAAGCAGCAGGAAAAAACCCCATTTCTTCCTTCTATGCAAACAATTGTGAGACAGTGTGCTGATATAATTTTTGTCTAAATCTTGACTCAGATGCTTGTATGTTGCTTTCATTCTAACAGTACACACATAATTCCAGCCAAACACATTTTCCTAATTTAACTGTAGATTTATTATAGTATTACGGAATTATGTACTTGTAAAAACACGTGTGGTGTCTGTATTGTGTGAAGTCTGCACTATTACAGGTTTCCACATTAAAAATTGGTTTTGGTAACAAAAAATAAGTACACAAAAATATACAGAACCCAAGCTGTTTAGAAATACAATTACTCAAGCTTTTAAGTAAAGCACATCTCTTTAATATATAGTCCAGAAGCCATTCCGTCCTGAAGTTATATTTACCAACCCGTCTTCAGCAGCCAATTATTTCCCTTTGTTTTGGCTAGGCAAGGAAATGTACTCCAAACATACGAAACAGTGTTTTGTATGCTTTCTGTATGATGTTTATAGAAATCTCATCAGTTAATAAAAATTACAAAGAATAATAAATTAAATTCATTATTCATACTCAAAGTTTAGTTAAGCATTTTATTTCAAAATGTTTGGGGAATTGTACAGATAAGAGTTATATGTAACAACTTTTCTAAGTTGCTACATACTTAGTTGAATATTTCCTTCTAAATAGTTGACAGTAGCATCTTCTGAGAAGTTAGAGAGGCACTTCTTGGAGATGAGGGGACAGAGAAAAAGGAGGAAAGAGGCAGTATCTGAACAACAGTCCTTACACATTTGCAATGTAGACAGTTTTGTGCTTCTCAATTGCTGCTATGTCATGCTCCAGTTGTTTCAGCTTTAATTCCAGCTCTTCTTTATGCATCCTCTTGTACATGGTGTCTGTTACTATTGGAAGACCCTGATATGCATGATTTATTTCCTCCCAGTTCTTTTTCAGTGCCTGGTGCCATTACATGAAAAGGAAATACACGAGAAAAAGTAAGAACAATATGTACATAAACTACTTGGTTTTTTAGCTATATTACATTTGCTAAGTGTCACTGCAATGTCAAAATAAGTACAAGATAAGTACATTAATAATGTATAATCATCTTAACTGGACCAAATAAACTAAATCCTTAAGAGTTATGATACTTGGAACTCCAGCCATATTCAACAAAATTCAGCAAAGTTTCAGGCCCTCTCACCATCAGCTTAATTTTCTGTAATCAAGACTTTGTTCAGACCAAACTGATTCCACAACACTTTACCTTCTATAAACTACTTTGAAAAAATACTATATAATTGCATTCCCCTTCTAATCTACATTTACGGTAACAACTATGGGCAATTTATTTATCATTTGGACTAAAACCCCTAACTGTCACTGACCCTATCAATAATAATTTTAATAACGACTACCTCTCTTGAATGCTGCTGTGCAAAGAACTACCTTTCTAGATAAAGCAAACCATATCTTCCATATATAAAACCTTGAGACTAAAATTCTATGTTAAAAAATTAAAAATGCTATAATCAAAACTTATTCATAAAACTGTTAAATCAGAGGCACAGACACACCAGAGACAACACTTTTATCCACCAACATACACTGAAAGGAACCAGATAGTGGTAGAAATATAAAATTTACATCCTGTCTTTATATCCTTCTTACAATTACTGCAACCATTGCTCTTACTTTCTCTCCTCAAAAGTATAATCAAAATCCACACATTCTATCCCCATGTATGTGAGGATTTAGTAGACTTTATTCAGTGCATCAAATGTCCCCATGAAAACTATATGGGTGAACATAATAATCACAACTAACGAGGAACTGAGAGAGCAATCAGTAAATAACACACCTATTGCTGAGAAAACAGTTCTCAAAAATGTTTATGGCTCTCAGTTCTGTCACCTTAGAGGATATCACAAAGTATCTTCAAAAATAAAGCAGTGAAATTACTCTCTTGGGAGGCAAAGCTTTCAGCTCTCCTCCATAACTAAAACGGGATTCAACTGGCACACTGATTTTATGGCACACTGTGATTTCCAACCTCATGTCCTCCATTATCATTAAACACTTTTCTCACAGTCTGGCTAACTGATGAACATACTGAAGTTAAATTTAGAGGGTTTATTTTTATACATATTTAGCTTTGAAGACTGTTGATTCTATTTCAGAACTCAAGGGCTCTTGTGCTTAAAAACTTGTCTTTTGTTGACTGTATAAACTGATTAACAGAAAAAAAATTAACTCTCCTGCCAACACTAAGAAAAATCTAATCTTTATTATGAACTAATATTTTAACAATTCAAACCAGTGTATTTATTGCATAGCAATTCATGCTTTTGCATATTCATATTAAACATCTAAGTGTTTCTTATAAAGCTCATTACAACAATCTTCATATACAAATATATACATAAGCTTAAAAACCTTACTGCTACATGTGAAACTTAGAGCAACAAGGATATTTACCTACTGTCTGGTAACAATACTTGTTTTTGCTATCCAAGACTGTAAAGTACTCTGATAAGTTTCATAGTCTACCAAGCATCAGGCACAGTTTACAAATATATAGGCATAAAAATAAATCTCATATTTTCAAAAACTTTCATAAAAGAGTAATTCATAGATTATTTAAACAATCCTTATTTGTGTACATGAGTAAGAACTGGCTTGGAAATAATTGAAAACAATGAATTTTAGAATATTAGAGCATCCATCAAAATTGCTCTATCCCTATAAAGTGGAGAGATCAAAAGCAGATCATGACTATATAAAAATCTCCATCACAGCTCCTCCAACAATGTAATATGCTGACCACTATTCCTACTGCTAGATCACAAACTGAATATCCAGCTCTATATATGGAATTCTAATACATGCTGGATCACTGAGAAGTATGTACTGCATTTATCAACATTCTCTTTTATTCTCATAAAATCCCTACCAAAGTAAGCACAACGAAGAGTTCAAAAAATGTTGGCACAAATTTCTTCCCTTTATTTTTGTAAGGTCATGAGGCTTGATTTTGGTCTCAGGCATCTACTGCCACGTATTCTTTCAAATCAGATAGTGCACATGTGTTCACTAGCAATGTCAATTATTTTAAAGGACAGAAATTCCCAAATGTCTACAGCTGAGCCCTGGGTAGAAGCCACATACCCTGGGGACACTAATTCCTCCTGACAATATAACTGTATAAGTAAGCCCATGGAAGTGTAAATGTTTTTGAAAAAAAAATTAAAATAAATACTGAGTTAATAAAAACAATCTAAAAAATTTAAAAATTAAAATAATATTTCAGTGCATTCCTCTATTTGGAAAATATAAAACATCATTTTAATAAAACTAAATGCAGAATGGTGAGCAGCTGGACTCACATGCCTTTTTTGCACATTTATTTTTGCTGCATAGTTAACTTGTTGGACCATCAGCTTGTCCCGTGCCTTTCTCACCATAAAAATATCTCAATCTTCTTCAAAACAGCATGAGGTTTTGTTCTTTATATTGCTGTCAGTGCAATACCCTCATCTCTCTCCCATACTCCTTCCTTGCTTCTACTGCTTGTTGTATATGCAAAAGACCATGTGCTGGACATTTCAGATCTTGCCAATTAACCAGTTTGTCTTTCAGGCAAGAGAGTTAGACACAGTTTTCTCTCTAGATATTTTTTGTGGGCATTCAGCATATTTGAGCTGTCCATCTATTTATTAATTTGTTTCAGGTGGATGCTAAGAGCAAGTTATTAAGGGACAGACTGATATACAGATATCACAGTCATGTAAGCTTAATTTTCACAGGAAATTTGTCTAAAAAGTGGTCAAGAAAAATTCTAGTTCTAGGTCAGGATATACTTTTAAGAAATCTCTTTTATGCTCTACTTCTTTTATGGTATTAATTCTCTTTAAAAAGTCTTGTGCAATAAAACTGTATGAAAGACAGTATACAGAACAACTTGACAGAATACAAAATTTTCAGTCATAGTTTAATGCCTACATTGCAGATTAATTCTGGGGGGGGTTTTGCCACATTTTAAAGCAAGTCATTATGCTTTAATCAGTGAGGTCACAATGTGAAGATAGAAATTGCCAATAAAAGGAGAAATATTCTGCATTAGGAAAAAAATTGTATTTCTCCATTAATAAGTGTCACTAAATCCATTTTGGTGATTTTCTGCTCTTTGAAGTTTCACTGAAATTTGAAGTCATTAATGTGAATAAGGACCAAACAGAATTGAAAACAATTAAAACAGTAGCTAGATCAGTTCCTTTCAGTTGTATACGACTGTTCTACAGCTCCATCTAGTGAAAAAGTAACCAACTAATTTGTTTTGCTTAAAAAACCAAAAAAGTATACTTTTATTATTTATATGGACTTACATTACTGTACTTAATTTTTGGACATGATACCAATTACACTAAATCAAAATATGCACCTTCAGAACATTTGTCCTTTCTTCTTCAGATAGAGCTTTCATGGCTTTCTTCTTCAGTTGCTCCAAAATACTGGCCTGGTATTCTTCCTCCTCTCTCTTCATTTCTTCATTTCTCTGTATCACATATTTTGGTAAAACACCATAGTTCTATAAGGAGAAGAAAGAAGTTCCTTTTATGTGCTTTTAAGAAGGAAACAAAGAGATATGTGTAATTCATCCATACATTTGCAAAAATTGCTTGAAATAACAATTTGTGCTACTGAGCACTAAAGTCCTAAATCACCATGTTCTTAAAAGTGTCAAACGTGATTATCTTTTTAGCCTGAGAAAAACAATTCCCTTCAATTTATTTTCACAACCTCAACAGAATCCAGAAACCAAAATGTCTATTTATAAGAACTGCTGGTTGAGCAAGGAGTTTGAAACCTGTTCATGACAGTGACCTCTTTTACATTTTTATACAGTGTCAGCTTCTATGATTGGAAACATTCCTGAGAGAATGTCTTTAAAAGGTCTTCCTGTTTCCTGATTTTTGCTGAACATTGCAACATACAAGAACACATACATGAAAATTGGACTAGTTAAGAAGGATAAACTATTCCATACTGATGTTTTTCAGTGAGGGAAAAAATAACTTCTGAATATCCCAGACATTCTTGGGAAAACACACCTATTTTACCTCAACCTTTGTAAAATGAAGCTCCTCTAGCCAAAAGATATCAGCGTCTACCTTCTTTCTACTAAATGCAAAATTATTCACTAATCTTTTAGTGTCAGGTAGCACCATGACTAGCATGGTTTATGTACATGTTTAGCCATGGAAAAGTACTGCAAGGGCTTCAGGTTCTTTTTGGCATCTTCTCTGTCACAAGTCATGTCTTATGTCATCTCTTAATGCTCTGTCATGGGCTACATGTTTAGATAAGCCAGACTCTTGATAGATCTTATTTTCCTGGATAGGGGATGGACTATTCCTGTGCACAGAGGAGGTTGTATTTAAAAGCATGTCAGCTCTCCCAAGGTCTTTGCTTTCCAGAGCTGTCTCACATGGGGTCCTACTGACCAGTTATGCCCAATAAGCTGCTGTTTGCTCTGCTGAGCAGTCAGTACCCTACCACCTGGCTCCCTGAACAGGACGGGGTCTGCAGCTGCTACATGGTCTGTGCCACCCAGACCACAACTGATTATCACATCCCTGAGCAATTCTTCCTGGTTTGTAAGCAGCAGAACCCAAAGACTCTGACCATTGATTGCCTCATCCACCATCTGTGAAGAAAGATTTTGCTGACATGCTTTAGGAAACTTTTCTGATTGCTTTCATGCCATTGTGTTATCCTTTCAGCAGTCAAGGAGAGCGGTCTTCCATAAGAAGCTGCATTATGATCTGAAGATTTCCTCAAGTTGCTTAAAGAGATTTTCATCCAGCACCTCACCTTACTGGGTGCTCCATAACAAACACACTTGGCCTTTCCTCTGATTCTGACCCAACAGGCTCAACCAGCCTGTTGCCAGTTTCATAGAAGAACTCCATATATTTGAACAGCTCCTTCATTCAAAGAGCAACCCTCCTTCTCTTGTTCCCTGCCTGTCTTTTCTAAGCAGCAAACATTCATTCATCACAGAATTCCATGTCTCCCCTTTTAACTCTCCCTGGCTTCCCAATGCAAGACATATGCCATTGCTTTAGAACAACCATTCTGCAAATTTTTTTGGCCGACAGCATAAGCAAATGAAAACAGAGCAAAGGCAAGGCACAAATCTAGTGCCAGTGATTTCTTCTCGATGAATTCAAGAGGTCCAACACAAACAGCCATGGTTTCTATGCAATAGTGAAACTAAAATAGGCATTACGAATAGTGTTTCCAATATAATTTAATAAAACATACCTTTTTTTTAATGTATTTTGGATAAAGTCCTGAAGGTTCAAGGAGATATTTATCTCCCTGTCTTGTATCAACACAAAAATGTCGAGGCTTTTTAGGCTCCCCTGTCATAACAGCAAGTGCATTTTTATTTATAAAATTCTTTTTAACGTGAGTAACTGGGTGGTATGTCCTGGGTGGCACTGACAATGGAAGCAATTTTTTACCATCCTCTTCATTTTTTTCTGTGAATAGAGCATGTAAACATTCTCAGCAACAAATGTGAAGAGATTTACAATTTCATATTATTACACTTTTCAAAAGGAAAAAAACGATGTACAGAATTACATAAAAATAGAACCCAACAGTAAGTACAATGAAAGAACTGCCTGTCAATGAACTGTGAGGTATGTTTGTTTGGCCTAACAGAAGTTTCATAACCTAGGAAATACTGTGGTGTTTCAGATGGGTTTTCCTTATTTGTCACTCATTTTCTCTTAACTGCAGTAGTACAGGATTTTTTTCAAATGTAATCATAACTAATTTTAGTAGAGGTGCTCCTTGTCAGAGCCCTTGGGCAATAATGGTCCTGTCCAGTCTCACCTGGTGCATCCACCCCACCCCCTTGGGCTCACAGCCCCATTTCACCTGTCAATACCTGGATGAGCTGTCTCAGCCATGTTTGCCCCTAGTCCTGTTCCTGTATGGAATCAGTGGAGGGACCTGGCCTGTAACCTGATTTTGCCTGATGGCCAGTGGGACACTGACAGGACAGACTTTCCTCACCAGCCCGCTCTGCTGGCCTGCCTGACGTGGTGGGACTGCACTCTCTTGGTGAGATCTTTGCCCAGTCCCCATGGTGGTTGCCCTCAATGTCTGACTCATCTCTCCCTAAGGAAGAGCCCTGCTCTTGCTGCTCCCTAATCCTTATAAACACCTTCTCATAATCCTTTCTCCAGAGAATACAGACTCTCTTCCATTTGAGTGTAATCTTTTCTCCAAGGCACCAACAGAAATTCAGTAGTATCCTGAGTAGTCTCACTTATAGTAAGCAATTAAGAATAATTATTTCCCATCATATTTCCCACTAGACATAACTCTAATTCATTATCATTACCAGAAATAATGATCCAAGTCATCTGAGTTCATGTTCCTCTTTGGCAGGAAATAAGTGTAATGTCACAAGTGACAGAGCTCATTCCTACAACAGCTGGGTCCTGATACTGCCCCCACAACAATACTGATACTGATTCCAACAGCAGGGGTCCTGATACTGACCCCACAAACCAGTACTTCTGTTTTTACACCCCGATAGCTGGCCATAACGTAGTACTGTAGGACATGAAGATGTAACTCTCTACTCTAAAAAATACATTATACTGCATAAATTTCCTGTCTATACTTACTTGGTGCTACCTTGGGTTCCTTGGAACGTTTCTGCAGAAAATCATTTGGAGATGGCACGGCAACTTTTGCTGGCCCAATAGTTTTCCACTGAGATTTATTTTTCTCTGCTTCATGTTTCACGAGTTGTTTAAGTTTGGATATATACCTTAGAGGTTAAAAAATATCCATAAAGACGTTAAGGGTCAGAAAAATATTCTAAATAGTTATTCAAAGAATATACTCTTTTGCAGTAGCTCATGGTAAAAGCCTAATCTGTTTTTGTTTTGTACTCTCTCCCAAATAAAGACCATCATTCACACAGCCTCCATGCTAAGGCTAAATCTAGTAGTGCACTGACAAATAAGCTTTCTGGTTCTGAAGTTAGCTTGCTTCTTCCTTCTGTTCTTGTGTCTCTGAAGTCAGGATTATCACACTTGGGGAAATAAATACCAAATATATATGCTGAAAACAGACATTCTGAAATCCAACAAAACCTAAATTTTGTAAATAAACTTGAGTATTGCTTACATGAACTCCTTATGGTACATGGTGTGATTCTTGGGGTGTCCTGTGCAGGGCCAGGAGTTGGACTCAAGGATCCTGATGGCCCCCTTCCAACTCAGCATTATCTATGATTCTATGATTTATGCTCAAGAAAATATGTCAAATGCAGTCAAGAATTGTACAGGATGTCCTTGATCATCAGGGTTTTTTATTACTGTCCACTGTATCACTGTCTCAATGTTCCAGTTGAACCATCTGTTACAGACATTTATGAGAGATGAGCTGGGTGACCACTCTGAAACAGCACAGCACACTGCAGATTCCTTATATTACACAGACAGGAGCTGTGATCCTGGACAATGGTAATCGGGTGCGTTTGGCACTGAAACAGCTGATGTGAAAATCAGTAAGGGCTCAGACATGAAAAGCTGTGTGAACATGCTATGCACACACTGCTGTTTTGGTCTAATGTTGCATATGGCATGATAACTTCTGCTTTAATCTAAATCTCCAAAAGAAACCAAGTGCTGATCATTAGCGTTGGCAACATCTTGCCTCTATCTGAAGGATCGAGCTGTCACAGATGTTTGCCTGAGGAAGCAGAACTCCCTGCTCTTGAAGCAAAGGCTCCCTCACTGTACTTTTATAATCTGCCCATCTTTAGAAAACATGTCGTATTAATTTATGGTAGACAAAAGCTTATGAAAAACTGTGCTTCTTTTACAGAAAAGTGTTTATGAAAAAAACTATGCCATGTTTTCAAGTAAGGATAAAAAAGAATGAAAAAGATTACATGTAGTGCAACCCATTCTATGGAAATACTGAAATAGGAAGAAAGAAACCATGTAATCCTGGGCCACTGAACACGTATCACAGTAGCAACACTGACAAAAACTCTTGCCCATGAGCTGCAAATGTCCAATAAATGTATTTGTACTTGATCATAACATTAGAACATGTCAGAGGACTTCACTAAAAATATGGACTTATTTTGTCTTTTGGAGATTTTTGATTTGGAGAGAGAGAGTTATCTGCATAAGATCACATGTACTTCCTGAAATACTTCTAATTTTAAGGAACGAGGTTTTATTTTTTTTCTGTTAAATTCATGGCAAAAACAGCAACAGACATTGCACAAACCCACCAAATCGATAAATAATAGTATTCCTCACCATTTTCTAGAAGTGGCATCATGAGCATGTGGGAGAGAAAGGCACTGGCTTTATGCAAATTTTGACCTACTGAGGTTCACAGTCTTGGAATGAGAAAATGCATGAGAAGCCACTGAGTTTCTTACATACTGGACTGAGGTGAAAACATTTGTAGACAGCTAGAGACATTCCTTTGGACAAAGAGAGGGGGGAATCTCTTATCTTTCCAGTGACTTTCCAGACTAAGAAAGTGGCTCAATATCACAGGGCTCAAGAGGGTTGCAAGGAAAAAAACATGGTTATGACCAACATCAGAATCTACTTTGCTCATCATTTAGCAAGGGAAAAAGAGATAATATATCTGTTAGAAGACAGAAGATGACACCTATTCCTTAGGTGTCAACGTGGGATATCAAAGTTGGGGAAAATGAGGATGTTTGCTGTGGTTTCATGAGCAGTTCCAGTCAGTTGAGAGAGAAATGTATATGATTTCATTTGGAAAAAAAACCCCATATAACAAAGGAGACTTTGTATGCATTAGTTAAAACTGATCAAATCATGCTATTAACCAGGTTCAATAGGTCTGTTATCAGCTGAATATTTGTCACATTGTGAACCTAAGCTGCAAGTGTGGTGACAACAGAAGTCAATAAGATCAGAAGGGGATTAGGTCGGATTATATCTAAACCAAGGAATCTGTTGCCTAAACTGAACCTAATGGTCATGGAGTATCCAAATCTCTGAACGGTATTAAGTCAGGAATGGATTTAGCCTGCATGCCTCACCATATTGTCCTTTCACCTTCCTCTGTCTTCAAAAGTATCTGTCCAAAACTATATCCATTCACAAACAAAATTTAAAGATCTACTTTTACATGGGAAAGACTCAGAACTAGGAATCTCACAAGTCTGAATCCTTTTACCTGAAACAGGATAACTATCTTTGTTCTAATGAGTGTCACTGATACATCTACTTGTTTTAAAGCTATTGGGTTACAACCTACCCTTTCACTAAAGACGCTAAGTGTAACAGCCTTTTATATAAATAGGGACTTGAAAAAAAAACAACACATCTGCATAACTCTTGGCAAAAGGCCTTCTCTTATATTTTTAAGGCAAGAGGCAAGAAAGTGAAGCAAAAGAAACAATGTCGGAGGATATACCTGAAACACAGAAAGTATGGAACTGGAAAGCCCACCTTTTCCGCTGCTCACTGAGCTGTTCTAAGTGCAAATAACAAAGACGTCATGTAATTCCTGTGCACAGGAGTGCTTTGTAAATTATGAGCTAACAAGATGTCACTGAAGACACCAAACTTATTCATCACTTCTTGGAGCAGACTGTAAACCCCCAGATCACAGAATCAATTAGGTTGGAAAAGACCTCTGAATTACCAAGTCCAACACCATCTTGTCAACATGACAACACCCAGTACTTCCTTAAATACCTCCAGGGACAGGGATTCCAGCACCTTCCCGGGCAGCCCACTCCAGTACCTAATCACCCATTCTCGTGAAGAATCTCTTGCTGATGTCCAATCTAACCCTGCCCTGGTGCAGCTGAGGCCATCTCCTCTTGTCCGGTCGCTAACTGCCAAGGAAAAAAAGACCAACCCCACCTGGCTGCACCCTGATTTCAGGCAGTTGTAGAGAGCAATAAAATCACCCCTGAGCCTCTTCCTCTCCAGGCTGAGCACCCCCAGCTCCCTCAGCTGCTCCTCATCGGACACGTGCTCCAGACCCTTCCCCGGGTTCGCTTCCCTTCTCTGGACACTCCAGCACCTCAATGCCCCTCCTGATGTCAGTGACTCCTTAGCAGCAGGAGTAACTATGTTTGTTTGGGTTTTTTTAAACCTGTTCCCCGCCAGACGCATTGCCTTGCCGGAACCAGCCCGCCTCGCCTGCAGGCAGCTCCGTCACACCCACGTACCCTTCAGATTTGGCGGGCTGCTTCGGCCGGGCCGGGGGCTCGCAGCCGCCCTCCCGGGCACTCTGCGTGGCCATGCTGCCGCCGCGGGAGCCCGGGCACAGGGAAGCGCTCGCCTGCTGGCGGGGCTCTGGACGCGGGGCACCCACCCCGCTGGGGGGTCCGCACCGGGGAGCGCCGCGGGGCTCGGGGCACCCACCCCGCTGGGGGGTCCGCACCGGGGAGCGCCGCGGGGCTCGGGGCACGCGGCACCTGTGGCAGCGGTCCCCGCCCCCGCCGGTACGTGCGCGCGCCGCGCTGAGGGCGCCGGGGGGCGGGGGTGGGACCGAGCGGGGACACGGGGACGGGACAGGACAGGACAGGACAGGGCAGGGCAGGACAGGGTGAGCGGGGGTGGCAGCCCGCAGCAGTGCCGGCCGGCCGGGTGGGTGCGGTCCGTCGGGCTTCCTCCTCCCATCCGCGCTTTGACTCCTTCAGGGAGCCGCTGCAGGAGCTCGGTGCGGGGGCTGGTCTCGTGTCTCTGCAAGTAGCAAGGCCCAGTTTTCATTAGAGCACCTGTCACCGGCAGTGTTAAAATTGGGGGTCACGGCTAAAGATACATCGGTGCTGTCCACGTCCGTGTCGAGCTGAATAGCCAAAGCAAAATGTTACTGGAGGTATGGGTGTAAGCTGTGCTGCCACAACCCCACCCTTTTGGCAGGGAGTTGTATCTAAAGTGGGGTGGGTGGATCATTTAACTGTTTCTACCGTTGAAGTTTTCCCAGTGGACAAAAAATAATTTCAAAGAAATGGGTTGTTTTCAATGCTTGCAGCCTTCTATGTACATGTACTTTATGTACGTGAGTGCAAAACTCAAATTGATTTTAAACAATACCTATGGCCCAAATTCACAAGGCAGCCCAGATGTTACACCCATTATCTGAGCAATGCACACCAACTGACTGCAGCTCAGAGTTGCCCTGTAGTGGGGCAGGACTCTGTGCTTGGCAAGGTTTTCATTCCCTTAGTTCACACACACAATGCTTGAAGTGATTCTTACAGTAAAGAAATAAAGTCACTGAAATATACTGGGTTTGGGTTTATTTACTCCTGAATATTACTTTTCTACATAATGCAAGTTTAGTATGGAGATCTCTTTCTGTCCCTAAGAAGAAAATACACATATTTATGTATGCACTAGAGTGGTTACTATTGCAGTACACTTTTAGAGCAATACCGGATATTACAATTACTCTTTGAAGTTTGTTTTTTCCTTTTAGTAAGTGTTTATAAAGGTTTTTAAAACCCTTTTTTGATTAAACATTTATAAAACTATATTGCATCTACACATTCCCTTATACTTTGCAAGGATTGAGGAAAAAACCTGGATAGCACTCTATGCCCATCTTTACTCTGATCTATGCCTTGTAATTACAGCATATCCTCCAGGTCACAGCACTCGCTGCAAACACAGAGATTTACTGTTCACAAACTCAACTTCCCGTGGAAGTGAGCAAATGCTCTTCCCCCTGCCCCCCTCACAGTTTTAGGGAGATTTTGAGAATCTTTCCCCTTTTGCTCTAAACGTCGCAGACAAATCATGTGCTCTAGTTAGTGCTGATATTGATGTTTATTTCTCTAAGTAAACAAAGCACAATGTTGGGAGTTTCTTACTTTGTTGGAAATCCATCCTTCTTAGTTACTTTTTTGTTAGAGTCCTCATGCTTTCTCTCTGTCTCTTTTTCCTCCTCTTTCCATCCCCAAATTACATTCAATACAATTCCAGTATAGGAGTTCTTCAAAAACCCCTTGCTTGGTTTCCATCCCTTCAGGAAGAGATTTGAATGCAACTCATCCAGCCTTGCTGTTGCACAAGACTGTGAGTTTTCTGCATATTTAAGTGGGTCTTGCATTTTTTAGAAAGAAAGGATTAAAGATAATCAAAGTTTTCTTGGGAGGTGGGACAAATGCATGTTTTGGTAGCATTTTGATTACAAGAAGGTAATCAAGGTAATTGTTATTTATAAATGTGTAGTTAAAAACAAGTCTTCTAGAAGAAAAACAAATTGTTTTTTAATTCCTATAAGCAATATTATTTGCAAACAGTATTGTAATGTTAGGCTTGGATGACATTTTTTACCTTGAGGACATGGTCTTTTTGACGTTGGGTCTGTCAGTGGAAACAAGCTGGAACTAAGCAGGAGAGGGGAATGAGTCTTACTCTGAAAAATACCTCCTTGGCAGTGATGGGGTCATAGCTGGATTTATGTTTAAACTCTTGTTCTGAATTTTATATCCTTGAGGGCTTTTTCTTAGATATTTTCTGAAGGACTAGTTACTGTTTTTTGGGGTTTTTTTTGTTTTCTTCCCAAAGGAGTTAAGTGGATTGTCAAGTTGTCTTGGAAGAAAACCACAATAACTCATCAGAAGATGTTTCACATTTTTCAATATCAGCCTTTAAGACTAATAACCCAGAACAGTCTTTCTAGCATGTGTTTAAAACTCATGCTTTCAAGACCTGTTGCATTTGCACAGATATGGAAGTCATGGTTCTCAAGTCATTCTCTTCTTGGAAAGAAAAACATTATCCTGATGGGACCTCCAGGTGCTGGGAAAACAACGACTGGGAGAATAGTGGGCCAGAAACTGGATTGCCCTGTCATAGACATAGATGATGATGTCCTTGAAACAACCTGGAATATGAGCGTGTCAGAAAAACTGCAGGCCGTTGGTTATGAGGAATTTCTAGAGGAGGAAGGAAAAGCCCTGTTGAACTTCTCAGCATCTGGAAGTGTAATTTCCCTTAGTGGGTCCAATCCAATGCATGCTGCTGGCATGCAGCACATAAAGAAAAATGGAATAGTTGTGTATCTGGATGTGCCCACAACAGTCATTATGAGCAGGCTGAAATCAAAGCAGATGGATCGTATCGCGGGCCTGTCTCCTGGTATTTCTCTCAAAGACGTCCTTCAGTTCAGGAAGCAGTTCTACAAAAGGTGGTTTGACATCCGTGTTCTTTGTGGCGGGGATGTTGCAGCAGAGGTTGTAGCACAAAAGGTACTTGATGCTGTGAAGAGATACCAAGACTCAGAAGTGGAAACTTTCATTTCAACGAGGTCTAGTAGGTCTGGAGGGAGCACGGAAGAAGACTCTCATAAAATGTATTTCAGTGATGTTGTTATTCAGGGCTTAGCCCCTGATGGAGGACTCTTTGTTCCTGAGAGAGGACTTCCAAAATTCACTGCTGAAGAATGGCAAGGTCTGATAGAAGCAACTTACGTTGAAAGAGCCCAGGTGATACTAGAAAGATGCATACATCCTGCTGATATTCCTGCTTCTAAGCTGGCAGAAATTATTGAAACTGCTTATGGAGAAAACTTTAGTTGTTCTAAAGTTGCCCCACTTAGGCATCTGGCAGGCAATCAGTTCCTTCTTGAGTTATTTCATGGACCAACAGCATCATTTAAAGATTTTGCATTACAGTTGATGCCACATTTATTTGCCTACTGCATTCCCAGAAGCTGCAATTACTTGATTCTGGTAGCTACTTCAGGAGACACAGGGAGTGCTGTTCTAGATGGCTTTAGTCGTCTCCATGACACTGACAAACAGAGAATTGCTCTGGTGAATTTTTTTCCTGAGGATGGAGTAAGCCCAATTCAAAAATCACAAATGATTGGCTGTCAGAAGGAAAATGCTTGGTCAGTGGGTGTCAAATCAGATTTTGATTTTTGCCAGACAGCTATAAAGCAAATCTTTACTAATTCTGATTTTACTGGCTTTCTTACAGTAGAATATGGAACAGCTTTAGCTGCAGCAAATTCCATAAACTGGGCACGACTTCTTCCTCAGATAGTTTATCATGCCTCTGCATACCTTGATCTCGTTCATCAGGGTATTATTTCTTTTGGAAGCCCTGTAGATATTTGCATTCCTACGGGAAACTTTGGCAACATGTTAGCTGCTTTCTATGCTAAAATGATGGGAATTCCTATTAGGAAATGTATTTGTGCTTCCAATGAAAACAATGTTTTGACTGAATTCATAAGAACAGGTGTTTATGATTTGAGGGGAAGAAAATTAATTTCCAGTTTTTCACCAGCAGTAGATATTTTGAAGTCCTCCAATCTTGAGCGATACTTACACCTGATCGCTAATGAAGATGGACAATTGGTGACACAATTATTTAATCAGCTGGAAAATCAGGGCCACTTCCAGCTGCAGAAAGATCTACTTGGAAAGCTTCAGCAGGACTTAGTGGCTGGCTGGTGCTCTGATGAGGACTGTCTGGCTGCCATTCACTCTGTGTACAGTACTACAGGATATATTTTGGATACACACACAGCTGTTGCTAAAGTAGTTGCAGATCGATTACAAGATAGAACTTGCCCAATTATTATTTCATCTACAGCTCATTATTCTAAGTTTGCACCTGCTATCTTGAGGGCCTTGAGGATTGCAGAAATAAATCAGAATCCATTAAGTCAGCTTCACTTGCTGAGTTCTTACAGCGCTCTGCCTCCAATCCACTGGGGCCTGTTAGAGGCTCTGAAAAAGACAGGAAATGGGGATCACCAGGTCTGTGCTGCTGATATGAATGTGCTGATGTCCCATATAGAAACCTTAATTCAAAATCATTTTATGAAAGTTTTTTGAGCAACTGATCCATGTCCACAATTGCAATACCTTCTTAAAAGCTGCATGCTTTACTAAAGCCATCATTCATCTGGCCTGTGTCCAGTCCACAGCATATCTCACAGTTTTATATTCAGTTGTCAAGCTTTCAACAGTATTTGTAAGTAACATGTGTGAGATTTCTAGTGGCAGCGAAAGGTTGTGAAACTAGAGTGTAAAAAACTGGAATACCACTTTGCAAATCGTACACAGCAGAGATGCCAGCATTGCTGGTTCTCCTTGGCAGTGCTGTCTCCTTCACAAGCCTGAAGCATCCTCAGCAGAAGGGGACATAATGAAGTCTGACCTTTCTGGAACTAATAGTTCTGGTTTTGTTGCAACAGTGATGTGAACCTTTGGTCAGTGGATGTTTAATTAAACTTTAACTCATTTCACTTAGGGCACTGAAACATAATAATATAATGGTATTCATATGTTACTAATGAGGGTTGATTTCACTACAAAGATTAAAATATCCTTGTATTGTTAATCCTTGGACCATTGAATTTTGTGATATATTACCTTCTTGTATAATGTTTTTTATGTATTGTGTTGCCAGTGTCTAAGTATAAAAATCTGGTAATTTTGTTTTTAACACCTTTTTTCACAAATATTTTCCTCTGTAAAATAGAATACCTAATTCAATATTTTTAATATATTTGAGGTGTGGCTCTTCCTCCAGTGTCTTGTAGTCTCTTTCCTAGATGTTTTTTTATTTGAACTTTCAACTTTAAAATCCTTTTTTAGTACTATAGAAGAATCTGATAGTGGTAACAGCTGTCTTCTTAAATAAGAAACAGACTTCATTTATTTAGATATATTTTTTGTATTATGTTTTATCTTTGAGATCATATTGCTTTTCATGTTCTAATTACTTATGTTTTCATATTTTTTCTTAAGTTAATTTCCTTGATGTTCTATTCTATTCAAGCTTTGCATGAATTAATGTAAGAAAGAAGCTTCCCAAATTACTTGGCATCTCATCAAGGAAAGTGAAGGATGAATTCCAGCCTGATAGCATCAGAAGTGTTCATTATGTAACCCAAAATACATCTGTGTGGTTTTGCTAATGACAGGCTCTTTGCTGGTTTTTTTTCTGAAGAAAAATTAGACTGGATTGTCCTAGGAGATCATGTGGTTATGGACAAATGTATTCTACTAATTGAAGATTATATTTCACAAGTACATAAACTATATTTCATACTATGAGAAATGGTAAAATGATGTATTGAAAGGTTTGAGTGGCATGCAGTTAGAATTAAAGAGCTGAGTCTTCAGATGTAAGGCCATACAGCTACAGGAAGTTGTGTTTCCCACTAAGATTCAATTTACCTGGTAATTGATAACATTTTTTTGCTTCTTCAGTAGGCAACATTTCCTACATGTCAAGATTCACTTGAGGCTTTGAACTGTTGTATCTGATAGCTTCCTCTGTGTGCCTGCTTGTACTTTTTGCCACACTAGAAGTGAACAAGACACCATCTAGAAAACTATTTTAAAGAATTGTAATTTCTTCCAGTAAAAGTCCCAAGAATGACGTGCCTTTGCCACAGTGACTATGTACACAGTATCATTAAATGTAGCTGAGAACATGGGTGTGACACAGTAGCTTTCTAGATTCCCCCGTTCTTAGATACTTTTTTAGGACCTTTCTAGTTCTTTGCTCAAACCTTAGTCACTATTTCTGCAACTTTTTGTTTTTATGGAATTGTGAACAGATCAGGTTGGATTTGACCTGAAAACATCATCTGGGCCAACATTTTGTCAAGAAATGGAGCCTAGATGAAATTATCTAGCACCCTCTCTGGTTATGTCCTAAAAACTTCCAGCAATGGAGACCCTTCCACATCCCTGGGGATATTGTTCCAGTGATTGAGTGTTCTCACTGTAAAAATTTCTTTCTTATACCAAAATGAACATTCTCCTGATGCAACCTTCTCCTCTTCTCCCTTGTCATCTCCATATGGCTCCTTGTAAAGAGACAGCCTTCAATCTTTTCCCAACCACCACTGAAGCATTGGACAGCTGTGCTGAAGTGCCCCCTGAACCTCCTGTAGTATGAAAAGATCTGACTCATTCAATGTCCTCATAGAGCAGGGGAATTTTGATCATTTTCCAAATACGACCTGGGAAAGACCATGATTATATAATTTTTAAAAATCCAAGTCCCGTAAGAAAAAGTTACATAAAGATATTGCCAAGAAAGAAGCACTGCTTCTATCAGTGATAAGTCTTGTATTTCTTTATGTTTCAATCTGATTCTTACGGTAATTCCAAGTGGAAAAAAACCTTAATGCTTTCTCTGGATAAGCTCAGTACAAAACCAGGATTCTAAATCTTGAAAATAAAAACCCAAAATGAAACAAACCCAACTGCCTGGATTGAATTACTGGGACAGGGTTTGGGTTCAGCATAAGGAAATCCTGCAGTACTTGGTTCCATGGGGCTTAATGCCATTTAAATCACAGGGCTGTTTGTCACAAACTGTTAAAATACTTTATAGAAACATCTTCAAAGAAGAACTTGTTTTTGTAGAAAATACCTGAAAGGGAAGAGCTGAGATTCTAAACATGGTAAGACTAGAAGTCAACATCCTACCCTGAGATAACTCAGTGTCAGAGAAACTGGTCAGAACTAAACTAGCAGGGGATTTCTTTTGGCATGACTAAATTATTTTATAGTTCATGGCAGTAACCCAAGCATGGTTTGAATTTCTGGTTGCTGCTTTCCTATCACATGAGCCATTATCACAGTCAATATAAACTAAATAAGTAAAAAAATGAGCACTTGTACTTAAGTAAGGGCTATCAATGGGGACTTATGGTGTCTAAGGGCAGCGGTTTATGAGCACTTACAATATTAATACATTTCTCAGAATGTCTAAAGGCTTTTACAATATAGTATTACTAATTTTCAAAAATAATTAAATTTTGGACTCCGATTAACTTCAGTAAACTATTTTCCTGCACTACATCTGCTTGTGGAGCCTAGTAATGAACATTATAAAATGCTGCAGTAGTGTTGTGATCCTGGATGTACACAGTATTTGTGAGCTGGTGCTAATGCTGTGTTCTGGTAGCTGTGGTGTGCAATATTCTGTCCTGCAGGGCCTGTAGCAATGGAAGGGAAAAAAAATTCCAGCATGCTCAGAATAGCTGGCTGTGGGTGCCAATTCACTATTTAGGAACAGTGCTTCAAATGCACAATGTATTCTCCTACATCAGGCTTATCAATTTCATATATGGGTGAACCTCAATAGTATCTTGGTTTCCAGATAATTTCTGGAAAAAATTCTCATGATCGTTGTATCTTCCAAAATTTTTCAGCTGAGGAAAATATAAGCATTAATAAAATGGATAAATAAAATAGGATAGTGAGGGAAGCAATCCTCCTTTCTTCCTAGCCCAGATTTTCTTAGTGTCAGTGATATACTGTGGCTCAGCAAATCTTGTGCTACTGTTATGGTCCTTTTTTTCCCCACTGTCAGTATTATGAAAGATTCAAAAGGCATTAAAGACTGGGCATAAGTGCCCTTTTTTTGGTCTTTTTTTGGTGCAGACACTGTGCACACTGAATGCTGTCATACATTATTTTCTATTAACTTCTTAAAGCAAAGTAGTGTGCCAATGGTACAGAAAAGCAAATCTATATTGTGCTGGTTAGTAAGACTCTGTAAGCCATTTAGGTTTGCTGTATACACAGTTTGCTCCTATTTGTCTAGCAGGATGTTGCAGTATCAGTCAATAAAATCCAGGGTGACAGAGTGTGAGCATGCAGATCTACACATTTCCACTTGCTTTGATGATCCAGAGTAATAGCATTGCTTTAGTTAAGCTGTTATTCTTCTGTATAGATAAATCTTTGATGAACACTTCCTACTATATGAAAAACCTCAGGGACAAATTTAACAAATGTAAGAAGAAATACAACGTCTATATTTACATTTCTTTTTATAAGAATATTTATGTGGAAAATACTTTGTTTTGTTTACAGATGTACCAGGTGCTCATTACTTGCCTTTAGTCACAGCCCTTCTTCTCAGGGAGAAGACATGAGGTAAAGGATGAATAGAACATCAGAAGATAATTCTGTTTTCTTAGTATTTTATGATATAAAAGGAATTTTCACTTTTGAGGTGAAGAAAAATTTTATCTGATGGAACTCTACAGGGAAGATCTTTGTTGTTCAAAAGGTCAGCTTTGCTTTCAAGGACATCAAGAACAGATATTGCTGTTAAGTATATTATGTTTGGCATCCCTGAAATACACTTTACTCATTTGTAGCCACTGTATTTTTTCCTAAATAAACACTGCAGCACCTATATAGCCCTATAGCACTTCCTTTGCAAATCTTTGTAAATCCTTACCAATCTGCTATAAAGAAAATCCACTAAAAGAAGTGGTTTCAGAGTTCGATATTCTTAAGTGTTGAAAGTGTTCCATTCTGTGTTTCCTTGAAAGTTAGGGGTATAGTTAGTGATAATCTAGTAATTCACTTTGCTGAGACTAAGATTTTAGTGAGATAATGTGCATCATTCTGGAAGGAAGTATGTATAAAAAAGGAAACACAGATCAAAAATAGCATATGTCTGAACACTGTTTACATTGCACCACAGACTTGTCCAGTGCTGCATGGAAAGCCTGTATTCTGAGGATAAGTATGGAAAAGGAAATCTCTGGCAGTTTAACTTTTCTTATTCATCTTTAGTTCAGTGGAGAGATGAGCTAGTTGTCTCTTAGCTGATGTGGAGCAACTTTGGTACACTTCTAATATCATTTCAGGATCATGGGCTTAAAAATTACTTGAATGGTTGAAACCACAATGAGCAGTTAGTTTCAGTGAATTAATGTGTTTATTAAGAACCTAGGAGGAAATAAAGTAATGACTGTTCAAATCTAGAGATGCCACAAAACTTAAATACTAAGGAGCTACTTAATCAGAGCAAGATTAATTGCTTTGTTAGGAGCTGTAAGCAATTTGTATTTTACTCTGGCCTAAAGTAGACCTGTGTTTTTAGGAGGATAGAGAGTTGAGAACTTACTTAGCAAGTTGAACAATTTGTGGCAGGAAATGCTGACTTTGAATGGTTTCTGGAAATGATGTGCATTCTCAACTGAGCATGAAATTTCAGCATGCCTTGTGGCCAAAAGAACCTGAGGTTAGAAATGGGAATACTGCCAGGGAAGAAATACTGCTGTCTGTATTTGGCTTTGGTGTAACCTTTTGGAAGAATATTATGCCCAATTCCAGTAGTCAAAATTTTCAGTAATGCTGGGAAGCTGGACAGAAAAGTCATAAGAACAATAAAAGCATTAAAAAGAAGCACTGGCATGAGAGACTCAAAAACCAGAATTTGCTTAGTTTAGTGAAAGAAGAATCACCTAGATGAGCCATCGTCAGAGAAAAATTGATAATAAAGAGCTGTTCCACCTAGCAGAGAAAGAGTGATCCAGCAAGTCTAAGCAGAAGGACATGTTACAAAAAGAGATAAAAGTATGTAAGAGAACAGTCAAGGCATCCCTGGTCTGGACATATTAGATGATTTCCTGAAAAAATGTGATTTAATAGAAAGAGGACTAATTCAGACAAGTCAGACCCATGTTACAAAAGAGGTCAAACCAAAAAATCACAAGTGGTGTTTGGCTGCCCCAGGAGTAACTTGCCTTTAACAAAAGCATGAACAGCATTTCACAGAGGTTTGAGAGATAGAGATTATGAACTAATTTCAGTTCTGCTGTGGTGTGATCAGTACACAGAGCAAAATAGGCTACTGGATATGTTTAGCCTTGTTCTTTCTGTCTCTAGAGAATTGCAAATGGACTACTAATGCATACCCTGACTTGACTCATGGCTATTAGGATATGGCTCATTAGTTTTAAATTTCATTATACAATACGCCTTGTGATGGTTTGGGCTATATATACTTTCATTATGAAAATGAGGTGACCAGCACAGGAGGAAAGTGTCTGTGTAAATGTCAGCTTTATTGAATGTAGCTAATTATTATTTATTTTCTGAGCTTTTAAAAGTTGGAGATCTTTTCAAATTTATTAGATGCTTTTGGGTCACTTTTTTCTCAGCTTTTACAAGCAACTTGTAATCCAATGGCCATTTTCAATTCATTTTCAGCTCATAATAAGACTTATATGACAAATGGAAAAATCCAATGGTTCCTTTTTATAGTTAAACTTGAACTTTTATATACCAATTAAAGCTTAGAGAAGGTAAAATGTGCTCATAGGTTCTGCTCTAGCAACATATTTTGATTTAAATGTATTTTTTCATTACATTTTTAACTAATTCACTAAATTATATCTAAATAGAGCAGGCATTTAGTGGACTTGTTTTTTAAGTATCTGTGGTAATCTGATTCTGTTTAAAATGCTAATAAGTGCATCCCATCTCCTAATTACACCAGTGCTCCCTGCATAATTAATTAGCATTTTATACAGATGAGCCATATTCACAGTATTTTTCTATCAGAAAGGTTAATAAAAGAATTCGATGCAGTTTTGAAACACCGCAAGAGTGGCTTATTTCTGTAAAACCAGTTTTTTACAAGTAAAAATGTTAGTGGAATTTACCTAGAATCGTTGTTCCATACAGCTTGTCTCCACAAGGTGGCATTCCTAACAGGAGTTTGATAGACACGGTCACTTGCACTTTTTGAAGAGCTCTAAGTGAGAGGCAGTCCTAAGCATTTGCAGTATTAATATGCTTTTTATGTTTTCATTTTTATAAAGTGTTATTAAGAGTAATTAAGAAACCTTAATGATAATTAGGTTAATACTCATTGATGTGTGGAGTATCCAGAAATACGTGATGGTTCCAGGTTACAAAACAGCACATTCATTCATGACATTATATGTTACTAGAGACCTTTCAGCTGTAAGGCTGGAATCAATTTTGCTTTAGTGAAAGAGTCTAAAATAATAATTTAAAAATTCTTTAAATCAAGAGCACAAATAATACCATGGTCTTGTATGCAAGCCCCAGTGTGTGGTGCTTTGAACGTGATGCAGCATATGGAGCTGGTAGTGAGTTCTGGGTTCAGGAAGGGCAGATCACAGTGTTCATGGGGAAAAGCTGTATAAATGATGTCTTGCTCTGCAGGGAGGATTTTTCATAGTTTAATGTTACAATGACCAAGCAACTTATTTTCATATGGCTGTTACCCAAGTTGATAACAGAGCCAGTGGGCAGCTCTGCTTTTCTTCAGGCTTTATATCTTTTTCAGTTTCTTGTAGTCTCTGTATGTTAAATTCAAATACCTTGTTACTCTTTTTCTTTAGATACAAGCATGAAGAGAGTATAATACAGCCTGCTAAACCCATGCAAGTGCACTAGATTTTATATAGCAGGGATGTGCATATGATACTTTTCTCCCCCATGGTTAAGGTTCTGATCTTACTTTGCTTTTTTTGCTGATTCTGTAAGATCAGACCTTAGCTAAATAATCATTTGTATTTCCATTCTAGCTGGTGCCCTACTTGCATTTTGGTTTGCAAAAAAAAGGTCTAACCTAAGGTTTGTGCTAAAACTGTAATCCAATGTAAATTGTGGCATTTTTTTCAAGTCTATTTTGAGGCAACAGAAAGGAATATGAATTGTTTGGTTTTTGATTTATTGTTTTGTGGTAGCAAAACTTCTGTGGAGTCTTTTTCTAATGCATTTCCTGCTCATCCCTCTGCTCCATGTGCTGACCCCCAGTGATGCCTCTCTGGGTTTGGTTCCTTCCACTTAACACAGCTGAAAGGACAGAGCAGTGGCTGCACCACGGCTGACACTAATGACAGTCTCTGCTGAGTTACTGGGACTGTTTGACATTGAGCAGATGTTCTTTTCCCTAACATTCTGTTGTACCTCTGTCATCTCTCAAAGATGGCTTTGCAAAACAGAGTATGAATTCCTGTTCACTGAAAGCAATTGTCAGTCAGAAAACCTCACTTTCAGGATGATCAAGCTGGTAGAACCTACCTGCTGGTTCCATCTGGCAGCAAGGACTCGAGGCAAACCTTCTGAGCTGGTAGTATCTCATGCTGACTGCCAATAAAATTTGAGGACCTGAACATTTCCCACATGCTGCAATTTTTAAAGAAATGTGGTGAAAATTACTATTTCCAGGATGTGGAAATGGCCAGACAAAAAAAGTTATATATAATAATTATGAAGTTAATGAGGAAGTAAATGATATGGTGTTGTTGCCTTTCAAGTTAAGCTACACACTGAATTTTCTTTATAGTACTTAGGCATAGCACTAGGTGAGTAAATGAGGGCAATGTTCCACTGAGAAGAGTAATAAATCTGTCCCACAGAGGAGACTTAAATATAGGAAAAACAAATGTACCCAAAAAAAAAAAAAAAGGAAAGAAACATTCTGTACTCTGGTGGCTGCCATGTGGAAAGGGCTTATGGTCTGCAGATAGAACTGTACACAGCTATGCAAGGGAACAGGTTAGTCAAGGTAGGGGCAGGGTTCAGGGTCCCCAAAAACGCTGTAATGTGTAGGGTGACATCACCAGAAGAAATTAGTAGTGTGGAGCATCGCTGATGTCACTTCTGGGACATCTCATGACGTTGAATCAGATGGATATGTACTCCAACTCCCAGAAATGGGGGGAAAAAATGATGCTGAACTGTCCCTTTTCCTACAGATGTCTCAATTATATGACAGCGACTGTAAGTTCATATAACCCAGCACTTGCAGGTAACACTGTCAGAAAAAAAAGCTGTACTGACTGCAGACAAATAACAGCCCTGTTCATGATGGATCTGCAAATTGCTTTGATAGTACAAAGCACGTCAGGGGCTAATTTGATGCAGTTTATTGTTTGCAAGAGGTGGATTATAAATGTTGGGAATTGCATCTTATGTAACTGCTGCTGGATAAGCATACGTATGAGTAAGTGTGAACTGGGAAAGGAAAATGTGATACTGGGAACTGTAACCACAAGTATTATCACTTCCCATATGTAACAAACTCATGCCTAGGGCAAGGAAGCACAATTACTGACAGAAGCTGTGTTTGCTCATGCAGGTGATTTTATTGTTCTAAGTGATTTATCACTCTGGCTAACATTTTTTGATGAAAGACTTTTCTAGAATGATTGTACTCCAAGGGAAATTTGGAATTGTTTACCTTCAGTAGATGACCAGGTCTGCCTATTAAAAATGTTAGATTTATAAAGTATTTTCATGTGGGTTTTAAATTGGTGGAAGACAAAGAGTCAAGGTTTGCTTCCCCAAGTTAATCACATAATCTCTTTCAGTCTCTCACTTCCTTAGTCTCAGAAATCTACAACTACACATTTGAGAAACTTATCAGATACTTAAATATTTAATGTACTTCCAAATTGTATTATTTTACTTTATCTGTTATCAAAAACATATGCTGGATTCTCCAAATTCATATTGGGTGCTAATGATACACTGATGATTTCTGAAAATGGAAAAAACTGTTCTCACTTCCTTTGCAAAAGGTAAAAAGATGTTACATTTTCAAACTGTTGAATGAACTGTGTTCAAACTGATCTAGCTTTTAAGTCCTGATTCCAGTAAGTGTGCAGCCAACACCTTGTTCTTTGAATTGCCAGCACCTTATTCTTTGTGCTCCTAGGTCACTGATGGTAAAGTTCTTACTTTTCTTATCTTCTTATTTCTCATTTATTACTATGAAAAGAGATAGTTATAAGTCCAGTTCCCTTCCTTCTCAGAGGGATCTGAGTGCAAACAGAGTTATTCACTGTGTTACTTTGGCCTGACACTAAAATTACTTTTAGTAAAGACAACTCAAGCCTAATACCCAGTCAACCCCTGTTCAAAGTGCAAAGTGATGAAGCTGAGCCAGAAGACATTGAGTGCAAAGTGAGCTTTTCAGCACTGTATAGAGCCAGTATAAAAGCTAGTTGAAAACTACTGCACAAACTACTAAAATCTCCCAATATCAAACAAATTGTTACTCACTTCTGTAAGGCACAGCTGACAGCTGATGGAAGAAATATAAGTCACTTTTTAAAAAATCTGTCCAAAATAAAATTTGCCTTCTGTGAGAACTTAGCTTATTGTGCAAAGCCTCAGGGTGAAGAGTGGATCTCCCACACCCATGGTGGTGGCTCTTTGGTCAGTTCAGGGGCAGCAGAAGCATCGTCTTCATTTGTGAGGTTTTTTTTCCCTTGCATTAATTGCATGATCTGCTTCATAAATCAACTTACATATAAATTGAACACCTTAAAAGTAATTGTGCAGCTGAGCAACTGATGAGTTATTATGCCTTATGGCTACTGTGGCTGTGTGGGTAAGGACCAAAAAGACAAAAATTGGTCTCTTTAACCTCCATTGTCCCTTAACTCTCCTCCAACAGGTTTCCTGTCACTTTAATTTAGGAAGTATTTTGATCAGCTTATGAAAGCCATTCTGTGATGCATTTGTCTTGAGTTCCCCAGAAACAATTGCCCAGTCCTGTGTTCCTAAATTCCCTTCTGTACATTGCCTTACTTTTTCCCCTTTTTGATAGCTGTATTAAATGTTGTTAGGAATGATGCTGTGTGTAGATCTGGTTTTAGAGGACAGACAGATGAAATAAGCAACATTTGGAGTGTCATTGAGACCACTTTAGTTATTTTTTTTGTTTGTGAAGCAGATGTCTCTGTTATGCACTCAAATTCTTCACTGTCACCCATTATCATAAAGTCATTTTAGCATAACTATTTTTTAATTCTCTAAGCCTTTTAATGGGACATTTTAAAATCAGTCTTTGTAGGATAAGTTTCTCTTTATATTACAACTCAAAATACAGAATCTTAAAAATAATCTTGTAATGAGCATTTTGTAGTTAATGTAATTAAATTCCTTTCAGGCTGGTACTTGGAATGCAAATCAAGAGTTTTATTTCCCTTTTGGAATCAGGTGCCCTTTAAAATGTTCATGCTGAAGTTCTGTAAACTGTGTTGTCATTCTGTGTTGTGACACTGTGTTGTCACTGTACTTATTTCAGCAGAATTTTAAAAACTGCCATGAGTTCTGACTGGAAGGAAAAGTGTATGTATGCAACAATTTTCAGTGAAAAGGAAAACCAGAAGACATGATTTTGTTATTATAACTTTACTTAAGAGGAGAAGAGGTGCATGTGCATGAGTGTGAGGATATTTGATAAGTTTATATCTTTCTCAGAAAGCTTGAAAGTGGTGATTTTTGCAAGCTTTCAAATTGATTAGGGGATGCTGGGGTTTTTCCCCCCACCTTACTCCTACCCAGATTCATAAATGAATGACACAAAAATTTTAAAATCAGACTTCACTCTGTAGAAAGTAAAAAATGAGGGGAAAGAGCAGCAAAAATCAGACCCAGTGAATACTCAGAAGCTGGACACAATTCTGCTGAGTGTCTGTAAATTAAAGGGTTAGATTGAAATTCTAACCCTTTAAACAATTCCTTTAACCATGGCCATGACTAAAGCTTCCTAGCCTTAATATCTTACTGTAAAAGTGGAGCTGTGGTTTTCTTGAGAGATTGATGTAAAGGCCTGCTGCAGTGAGGCTAGGTACCAGGGAAACAGCTTTTTGGGGAGGTGGGGCTGAGAGGAGTGGTTCTATTTTTGTCTGCCAATAATTCTGAGCTAAAAGAGGAAGAAAGAATTAAAATTTTTATTTAAACTTTTTATTCAAAAATTGTGTTTAACATGGAATGAGGATTTATGGTTTAGCAGTCTATCTGAAGTTGTATGATTATATATATATGCACATGTGTATATAATGTACATCCTACAGATTGTATATGTATTTCAGTTTGTTGTGCATGGAATATCATGCTCACTGGATCAGTGTGAGCTGTCTTGACTGGTGCATCTCAGATCATGTGTTGAAAGAGATGTGCATCCCAGTGAAGAAAGAGATCCCTGTGGGTACCAGTCTGCTGCATCATCACATCCAGATGGGATCTGTTGTCCTTCCTGCACAAAGCCAGTTTGATGTCACAGAGGGACCACTCAACTTCCCTGAGCTGTGCTGTCAGGTTCAGGGCTCCTGCAGCCCAGGGCTCCAGCTGGCCTTGACCCCAGGCTGGTTTTGTGCAGCTCTGTTGCTTGACCTTGGTTCACTGTCACTGAGGAAGCTGTCACTGAGCTCTGAGAGTCTGTAAACTGAAACCGTGCAAGATAAGAAAAGTAAAAACAAGCAGAACTGAATGTGCTGAGCTGGAAACTGTCTCGGGGATTGGGGACAAATACTGACATGGAATCTAAAAATCTAAGGGAGGAATCAAAGGCTTAGAAAATGGCATCTCTGCAGCTGTGAGGACTTGTACTGATTTACTGGGGTATTTTGACATGAATGAAAGACATTTGTTATTAAATACAAAGTGTGTAACACCAATAAAAAGCAACAGAAACCACTTCTTTTGTCTTCTTTTCCCTTCTCCCTTTTTCTTTTCCATATGGATCCTCATCTCATCAGCTCCTTCCTGACCTGTCTGAAGGATGCTTCTCTGATCAGCCTGTGGACAAAAGTGCCTCTTGATACCCTTTTACTGTTCTCATTTCACTCTGTGAATCATACAACCCCCAAGGCACACTTGGCATGTGGTGCTGTTCTCTCACTGCTCTTGACCCCAATGTCCACACTGGCATGGCGTGGTGGCCCTGGAGTGGCTGCAGTGA